ACTGAGCATGGGCTGCCCGAAGTAGGTCCCCAGTCTGTGTTAGCAGAAGGTGATATACAGTGCGAGTCTCCTTTTATGGAAATCTTTTGGTTAGGTAAAACAAACAAGGGTCTCCATGTGATAACCCTAAAGCCTCAGACAAGTAGTTTCCCTGGAGTTGTAAGTGCATTACAGTTGCATTTTTGTTTATTTTGAGCTGTCTTGTTAAGGAAAGATTTATAGGCTGGCATAGATGTAGGACAGCAATCAGGCAGTGTTTTCTGCCTTTGACAGTTGGTGTGATAGTTTGCTTCCAGTGACGTTTGACTCACTGTATCTGGAAGCTGTCAGAAGTGGGAGCATGAAAAGGTCGTGACGGATGGCTGTGGATAAGTGGGTGGGGGAGGAGGGCCGGTAAAGGAGACAGATGGCCTCCCTTCCGTCTGGAGGGAGGGGATGCCCCTGGCCACTCAGGCCAGTCCTCATCTCTCTTCTTCCCCACCTGCCTTAGCTCATAGGGTGGCCCCTGCCGGCACCACTGTTTGTGGGAGTGGCACCGGGGTGGGCGTAGTGCCACTCGTCCCCTTGGTACGCCAGGACTGCTACATGGAAGCCGTGTCCGGGGTAGGATCACCCTCGTGATTGTCAGTTACTGCATTTCTAAGTGGAAACCAAAAACATGTCAACTTCTCAAATGTTGGTTCTTACTTTTGGTGAAAATTTGTTTTGGAAAAATACAGAAAAGGAAAGGAATGTAGTCCCCCTAGCCAGAGCTGATCGCTGGGATTGGTTTGTGAGTACCTTTTTGATCCCTTTCCCATAAATATCTCTCTTATCCTCTTCACCTAGTGTCAGTAGAAGTTTTCCAAGTCAAAGCTTTTCTTATGTGCAGCTGTTCACGGTTGTGTTGATTCCATCATGCTTGGATTAGCTATTCTTCTGTGGTTGGCCATTTAAATCAGAGAAATATAAAGTTAAAAAAGCCAATTTCCCTTGTTTTCTTAGACGTATGTTTGTAACTTGAATTACTTAAAAGTGGTGTGTAAGTGACACTTAAGGACTGCCTCTGCTTTTCCTTCAACGACTTGGCACAGAAGCTTTAGCCAAGGGAATCAAAACCACACTCACTGGTCACAAAAGAAGCATATTGATAGGATTTCGTGCTCCATTTTGTCGTGTCTGAGCAAAAAGTAGGTGCACATTTGTTGGCACAGTTGAATTTTTATCTGTTTCTTGGTAAAAATTGAGGGAGGAGAGTGCAGGTTAGTTGGGCAGAGGTTCTTATCACGTCGTGCTGATGGGACTGAATGAGGCATGCAGAACTCAAGGGAGCCGGAGTTGTGCGTGTGAAGTGGCTCCTCTATGGAAGAGCTCCCCAGCCTCACACCTGTGCCTCCACCTCTGCTGGGGGGCGGTCACCTAAAACCTAGTGCACTTCTTGCAGAATAGTGTGGTGGCTCAGAGAACAGATCCTGGAACCAGATTCCTGACTTGCTTCAAATTCTAGCTTTGCCACTTTTTAGCTGTGTGATCTTGGCAAGTTACTTACCTCCCCGTGTTTCCATTTCCTCATCTGTAAAATAGGGATAAATATAACCAACTTCATACAGATGTCGCAAGATTCTCATCAGGTCACACAAAAGATTTCTAACAATAGTTGGTGCCAGTTAATGTTCACTCCTCCTTGCCCATGGCCTGGACTGTGGCACCAGCCTTCTAACTGGTCTCCTTTCCACCAGGTTGCCTCTTCCTTCTAACTAAGGAGACCTTGAACTCCCAGGCCAGGGACAGAAGAGCTTTCTGTTTGTTTCCAGGCTGAATTCTACATACTGTCTTCAGCGGTGAGGTCTGGGTGTGGTCAAGAAAATGAGCTTGGATCATGGACTACCTTCAGCCCTCCCGGACTAGAAGCAGAGGGCTGCCACTTGTCCAGCAAGAGCAAAGAGGGTCCTGTGGGACCATGTGCCCTGTGCTCAGAAACTGAGACACACACATCTCAAGTAGGGTGAGATTATTTAATGTACAAAAGGATTTTTCCCGTCAGGAAAGATTCCCTTACAGGTTCCTCTAAGTGGTGACTCCTCTGGGCAGCGAGTGTTTTACAGATCATTAACTACTTGACTGAAAGCCTGCAGGGTAGAGAAACTTAAAAAAAAAAGTGTTGGGAGCCCCTGTCAATTGCAGATCAATCCAAAATGAACGTAAAGTATGTCTGGAACCAGAAGGCAATGGGAAAATGTGATGTGATTCAGAAAAAATCTGATTTACAGGCAACTTTTTTGGAACAAACCAGTTGTTTAAAAGGTGTTCCACCTGTCTGCTCATCTTGAACCTAAATCATTCATCTCCCACATCTTCATCCCCAGGCCCCAGAATTGGGGTACCTCTCCATGAACAGTGACTGCACAATAACCCCAGAAAAGGGTGTCATTGGGAAAGCGTTCTTGCGGCCATGCAGAGCTTAGGCAACTGATGCAGAGATACAGCCTGTAATGGATGAACTATACAGTAACAATTTGCAGATAAAAATAATAGAAGTTAAAGTGTACTTTACATGATAAAAGAAAGATGAAAGAGGACACAGGAGTCTGTTACATCTGAGATGGTTACAGAAGTCCTGCTTTGTGAAGTAGGCTCTGTTGAAAAGATTGATGCAATGGGGAGTGACCTTGGCTTGGAGCAGGAGCTGGTGATGTATGTATGAGCGTCCCTCTGCTAAATGGACCCAGATTTGTAGCACTAATATACATGGGAGCCCAGAACCAAACTCACTGCGGCAATAAATCAACAGCCACTTTGGGTGTCATTTCTGGTTTATATTCCACTATTGTTCTATCACTTTAATTCATGTCACTATCATCTTTTCATCTGGAACAGTTTTATATAATTTTCCAGTGGAGTTACCTGACAAATCCTATCAAATTAACAAGGTACATTAACAATATTGACTGACTACGGCTTCAGGAGTTGCAGGGCCGTAGAACAAAATTTTAAAGCCGTGTCTCTCCAGTGATTATTTTTTCCTCCCTCCCTCTGAGAAAGGAATGTCGGGCAGGGTTTATTCCACATAAGAGAGATGCACATTTATTTTGCTCTGCTTGTTCTGACTTTTACAAATGTCAATATGAGAAGCAGAAGGAAGAGGGACAAAAAAAAAAATACTTGCTACCAACAACCATGGCATAAGCACTTCTCTTCTTCCAGGGAACTGTAGAAACGTCCAGATCTTTAACAATTAATGACCAAATTGGAGGGAAGAGTGTAACTGGGTAGTCGTAATCTATTTTAAGTGAAATGTAATAAAATTGGTCTCCTGATACATTCTTGCCCTCCTGAAATCACCTAGACCTGAACATCCAGTCAGTTGGACTTCTGACATTAAGCCTAATTGAAATATGGTGTTCCTGAAAGATGTCTAATGACAAATTCCAGCATTCAATTAATAAAAAAAAAAAAAAACCAATTGTTCATCTTTTCCAAAGACCGCACAGTAATGACCAGAGTTAAGCAACGTACCGTGTTGTCCCCTCTGCAGACAGCAGATGACACTCGGTGGCGGTGCATCTGCAGCTTCCTGCCTCTGTCTGGCTGCTGTTGAGGTTTTCTGTGCACCTAAAACACGATAGGCGTGAATGGAGCCTGTGGCCGACCCCATCACTACAATTTTGTTTGAATTTGTTGTTTAATTTTAAATTTGCTCTCAGACTATTGTCACTGTGGGGTGTTTTTATTTTTGTTTTCATTTTCCATTGAGGCGTGTCTTTGATCTGCTTTTCCTTTTGGCCTAGTAAGTTGTCTCACATTGTATGGAAAAATTTCTGAGTGTGATCCCTAGGGGGAACTATGTTAACTCTGATCGTCTTTTCTGTTGCAGTATGTACATTTGATGGTTTTAATTAATTCTTTTATTGTTATCTCCTTACTTGATTTTGCTTTTTTTTTTTTCTTCACTTTGACCCTGACCCTTAAACTATGGCCTAAAAATTAATTACTTTCAAGATTCCATCTGGGGCCCTCTCTGGAAGGCATACTGAAGGTTTCTGTCTCACTTCACCAACAGATTCCTCAATTTTCAGCAAAACAGGGAAAAGAGAGCATCTAGCCTAGACTAGGTCTGCACACGTACTGCTTGGTAACGTGGGGAGCACATTGCTGGGCACAGTGATCCCAGGGCACCTTCCGCCTCCGGCGTCACCTTTGTTCTCCTCACGCTCTCGCCCCCAGTCACTGTGCAGTGTGTTACATCCTCCACCGCTCTGAAAATGAAACCTCAAGTGCCAGAAGTTAGCATTCTGGGTTCCTCTTATAAAGTCTTTGTTGCGTAAAGCTCATACCCAGTTTGGTCGCACCCTCTGTGGAGAAGCAGTGACCTCCACAGCCTGAAACCAGGCTCCAAGACCCGAACTTGGAAGGTTTAATGTAAAGGACCCCTTAATCCTCCTGTGACTTCCTTTAAATATGGCTTGGGTAATTATTTAGTGTCAGAGAAAGGAAGAGACTTCGTATTTTAGTGTGGAAGATTTTTCCAGATCAGAAACTCTTCGTTGGTAATGTAGCTATTTGAGCATAGGTGTTAGTGCAGATTTATTTGTCCAACCCAGATGTTCTTCTAAACAAGAAACAAAAAAAGACTGTTGATCAAATCTGTTCTTTAAATGAACCTTATAGTTTATTTTATCACAATATAGAAGTGTTGCAGGGTTAACAGTATGTAGGTAAACTCTATATTGTATCTGTGTTATATCTAAGAAAGCATGTTTCTTAATGCCTTTTTATACAGTTTTTGGTTGTCCCCTTCTACCCACCCAGCTTAGCCCCCAGGAAATCAGACTGTGCAGTTTCTGTGGGCCATGTGGCTTCTCCTTGTGTCTGTCTGAAGCCCGTGACATTCCCCAAGGCCCTGAAAGTGACTTCATGTTCATCCAGTTTAGGATTTACAAACAGGTCAAATGGTTACTCTGAAATGACTTACATCTTCCACTTCTTGTGGCTTCTTTTTTGTTCTCCCCTCGGCCTTACAGGTATCTCTGGTGACAAAGTAGAGATAGATCCTGTTACGAATCAGAAAGCCAGCACTAAGTTTTGGATTAAGCAGAAACCCATCTCAATCGATTCTGACCTGCTCTGTGCCTGTGACCTTGCTGAAGAAAAAAGCCCCAGTGAGTAGTCCCTTTTATTTATGTCTCCTTTCTCTCTTCCCCCCTTCCCCTCTCTGTGCTGGGTGCCAGGAGAATATATTGCCACCGTGTCCTTTTTTCCTTGGGTCTGTTTAATTCATTACCAGAAATTTCTTTTAATCAAATGGGATTGTATATGGTGCCCAGAGCCTGACATGGGCCCCCAACCTGTTCAGTCTTGATGGCAGCAGAGAACCTCACAGCCTGGCTCCTGACCTTTAGGAGCCGCACCGTCGGGGCTGGTGGCATGGGGGCAGATTCCTGCAGAGAATTGGCACTCACCGGCGCCCTCGTTTCACTTTGTGCACCCAACCTCTTCCCATTTGGGGACCTTGACCAGTTAGACCTGGACCTGCCTTCCTTGCCTTCCGTCTTTGACAGATTGAGGGAAGCTGGGGGATTTCCTATGGCAGCTGAAGACTGGATTTAGATATCCATCATGCCGGAAGTGTCAACACTCTCCAGATTATTGGCAGCTGTGTGACCTACCAGCCCGCAATTAAACTCCTGCCTGGTCCTGCAAAAGAGATTGCTGCTGGGTTGGCACTCCTTTGCTTAAAATAGCAAAGTAAAAACTTTATATCTGGTTGTATGTTTTGGCATATTGTATTTTTGCAGTTAAGTAACTGAGTGTAGCATTTAGATTAATCATTTTTAAGACTTCAGTCCCATGAAGAGGAAGAAAGGAGAACTGCGTGGTGCATGAGGAAAGGAGTAAGTTTATACCTCCACCCCTTCCTACCATCCCTGTCCTCCCAGTAAGGCCTCAGCCCTGCAAGATGGCTGCCAGAAGGGGCTGGTGAGAAAACTGTCTGCTGCTCTGGGGCCCTTGTCCCAAGGCTGCCAGAGTCTCTCTGCCTTTAGATAAACAGCTTCTTTCCGATCCCTCACTCCAGCTTGTCGGCCAATAAAGATGTCATTGTTCTAGCTTCTTCCCAAGAACTCAGTGGATGCTTTGAAAAGTTACATTTTATGAATTTTCCCATGTATCTGAGAAATGAAAGGCAATCACTTACATGTTGCATAGAGGATAAGCTGGAGTAGAAAGGTCAGGGAAAGAACTAGGAACAGGATTCAGATTTCTCTTATACTCATACCAAGACACTCAGTGTGCAAAGGAAGGCTGTGATTCAGACACTGACAGTAAAGGATGGCATACACCCAGCCTAGTGGGGAAGGAAGCAGAGGTGCGCAGCCACCACCTCCCAAGTGCCTCTTGAGATTTGTCGGGCAAGAAGTAATGATAACATCTCTGAGAGTGAGGCCAAGTTCCAAGCACTGGGGATACAGAGCAGACATGGGCTCTACTGTTCAGTATTGACAGTCCAGCAAGAGAGTCTTTTGTCTTATTTTCACACCTTCTGGACGATTCTTTGTAAAAACCTCACATGTGGGTCTTAGACTTTCCTCCTCTCATTCTAGCTCCAGAGATCTGGAAATTATGACAATTTCCTGAACCAAGAGATACACTGCCTAGTAAAACGATTCTTAAGTCCCTGTCTCCTACCACAGTGTTTTTCAAACCATGTTGCTCGGAGCTCTGGGTTCTCAGAGCACCGCAGGGCCTTGCTGACACCAAGCCTAGCCTTTACAGTCCTTGGCCACTCCGGGTTTATAGCCTGTAATTTCCCATCTTGAACTTAGGCCATGGCCATTGTGAACAACTTGTACACAAACACACCTCAAACTCGGTGCTTCTGTTATTTCCATTGCCTGGAATACACCTCCCTCCTGACCATCCCTCTAACTTATGGACACCTCCGTTTCCCCACGCCCAACCCACTCAGTTCTCAAAGTCTCGCTCCAGCACCAGACCTGGTGTAACTTTGCTCCCAGAGTTGGCTGCACTGTTGACCCAGGGACTGGTTTCTGCCCTTGATCCCTAATGCAGTGCCTAAATAATTGTCTTCAATTAAGGTTTGCCATCTTATAATTGTACTTAAAGAGGCTGGAATTTAGAAACCAAAAGTTATTCAACCTAATTTAGGTTGTAAAGTGTCCAAAGATATAGTTAATGAATAGGCTTGATGCTGTGGGTATTTTTGTTTCTTTTTTGTTTTATGATCTCCAGTATCTTCATCAAATTAATTCAGTAACTTAATCTACAAGTTCGTCTTCAAGACCATGGTCAGACCATAGAATTCATCTATGGGGCTGCTGCTGCTTTTTTTTTTTTAAAGGATTAATGGTAACCCTTTTTATCTTTTGTGTCTGTTGAACCTTAGAAAAAAGTTATTTTAACAGCACTAAAGGAATGAAAGTCACTATATTTCATAAGTTTAGCCTGTGATTTTTATCAGCATAGTGATGTATGTTTGTAGCTGAGTTTACATCAAAAATTATTCTTGGGGCTTTCTTGAATGAATTATGGCAAAAAGAGAGAGTCTAGAAGTAGATAAGGTTTTTGATTTCTGCAATATATTTCCTTTTTCATGTTTTTATCTCTCATAGCACAAGTGTCTTGCTGAAGACTAGAATGTGTGACCAACTGGAATAATTTAGTTGTGAAAACAGGACAGATGTGTTATTAAACAGCCTTCTTTACAAAAAGGCATTAAGTGTTGGGAGGATAATGAAGTTGTCCCCGGTCTTACTTGAGACATGTTTGTCAGAATTTTGAACAGAAAAGAAATGGTTTTTCAAACCTTCAAGTATGGCCAGCTTGCAGTGTTTATTGAGAAAGCCACTGTCAAACCATTAATTTGGTCATCATAAGAAACACAACTCAAGTTTAATTGATGCCATATCCAAAAACTATGTGAATAGCTGACTTGGCAGAGGGACTGAGCATTAGCACGCATGCAGTGAAACACGTAATTACATATATTGTGGAATCAGAAAGACCCAGACTGAAGCCTTACTCCATAAATAGCAGCTCTGTGACACTCTTTCCTTCCCCTAGCTTCTCCCTCTTAGGCCCTGTTCTCAGAGGGAACATTTATTGCTCTGTCCCTGTGAGTGTTTAAGGACCTGGAACTTAAAGACTAAATAGATACATGCCTTGAAAAGCATTTGTACACATAAATATGGACTCTTACAAGAGTTGGTTGAGAAACTCTGTTTCAAAAGCCCTGAGAAATTAAGAAAAAATTCTGCCTTTCTAGATTTAAGGGAAAAAAAGCTTCATGCTGCCATTATTATTCAGATCAGTGAGTTCTCAGTCTGGTTTGCCACTCCTTTTGCTGTTTTGAAAGATGTCACAAACTTCTAAAAGATAAATTAATTTTAATTCCTTTCAGCTGAACAAAGATGCATGCAACACACAGGGGAGGAGAATGTTTCCATATCAGAAACTATCCTAGCTAAATTATCTCCGAGAAATAGCTCTCCATCCTTACATAGGTCCTGATGTAGCCTTTGAATGCAGTGGGCTCTCTTTTTAAGTGCTAGCCTTGAATTCCAATGCTGAAACAAAAGCCAGGAACCTTTCTGTGAAGCTAGCACCCATCAGGGACTCGGGCTAGATTTAAAGAAAGTAGCAGACTCAACCATGCCAGGTCTGGTTTTAGCAGAAGGTTGTGCAGGTTTAGAGTCTTTAAAGGAAGCAGCCTATCATTAAGAAATCAGATTTAAACCTTAATAAAGTAACTGTCGTCTTTACAGCTGAAAAGAGCTCTGTGTCTCAATTAAGTATAGATAATATCAAATCTTAAGGAAGCAACATAATAGGGGTAACCTGATTACATTCTCTTGCAATAGTATAATTTAAAGGAAATCTGATTCTGTTGATGCAGGTTATGTTGGTGGAGGATTGTTTGTCTGGTCTTTTGTTTTGTTTCTGCTTTTGTTTTTTTGTCCAAAACACTGTTTGGATACAGAATAGGAGCTCTTTGGACTACAGGTTAACCACAAGTCCAGGAGAATGTTAAGCCCTTATGAACAGAACCTGCTGGATATTTGCGATGAGATTCAGTTAAGGTTATGAGTTAAATTAGCTGGGCTTATTGGTGACCTTCCACTTAAATGAATCTTTCTTTTCATAAGTACTTGACAAGATCTGTAAAGTAGTGTATTTAATTTACTAATTAAATTAAAGCTACTGAATAATGATTTGTCCACATTGATTTAGCTTAAATAGAAAAGATCAGCATTGTTGTGATCTTCAGCAACCGTAATGGCCAAGCCAGTTAGACACAAAGCCCTCTTGTGTTTTATAGGTCAGAAGTACACAGGTAGCCCAGGCTGTAATTGAATCGCCTGCACTGCACCCTACAGTTGCAGATTTCCTTTGCTTTCCTGCTCCATTGTTGCACTGGGGCTTAAGAGAATGTTAACGCGGTAATAGGCACAGGGCCTTCCCCATTATACGTCTTGCTATCGAGCGGTTCTGCATGACTAGTTAAAGAAGATGGCAAGAAGATTAATGAAAGCAAGGCTAATACAGAAGGGGGTACTTTTGCAAGACTTCTACTGAGGAGATATTAGAGCAGAACCAGAGCTTGGCTTTTTCTTTATCCTGTGACCTTTGAACCTGCTGCACTGTTGAGAGCTGCCAGGGAAGTCGACATTTTGATTGATGTTGGTACACCAGTCAGTCTTTCCCATTGAATTCCACATCTGCACGAAAATAGCTTTTCCAGCAGAATTCATACTGGCCAGAAGTGATAGCCAAATTGATGGCTGAAATGCTTTTATGTAGTGTTCATTTAAACCTCAAGGTATTTGATGGTTTAATTCAGTATCCAGTTTTCATAAATGATAAGCATTCACTTACATGTCCTTAATGGGTTCATCAAGTCATAGTGAAAGACCAGTATTAACAATGTTCAAAGGTTTGCAGCACTGTTCCACGCAGGCTTTATGGGGGAGTAAAAGCAGTCATCAAACAAACCTTTTTCATCCTAGAAAAAGAAAAGGTCTGACTTTGAGGTTTTTGTATATAAAGCAAATCATCTGTTTCTGGAAGGCTATAGATGGGGAAGTCTGAAATCTTGCATCTCTACCCCTCCATCTCAGAGACTTTTGAGATCCACATGGATGCG